GTTTACAAATAAAAATAAAAATAAAAGTATCTTTGACAGTGTAGCTAAATATAATTGAAAAGAATTCTTTTAAATTTGTATACACATATCAAAATCTGGTATACTGACTTGACACGTGTCACAATCATGATAAATTTATTCCCATATTTTTATTTGAACTATTTTTATTCTTTAAATATTTTATATGCATAAACATCAAACACGAAAAAAATGGAGACAAAATTAGATTACTCCTATGAAGTGATAAAATAACATTGAGAACGTCAATACAAAACTACTTATTATAGAGAAGTTTATGTTATAGCAAGCTTAGAACACCTCATTACATTTGTTTCTTATATTTAAAGACATGCATTAATGTTGTTTTTATAAAAGAAAAACAAAATTTTCTTTTATCTTTTGGATATGAAGCGAGTATGAAAAATATAAATTACATAGAAAAATTGTACTTAATATTGTCATCTACTAGCAGATTTGACTTTTAAAGAACTCAATTGTTCAATTCGATTTTATATTGATTCACGTACCTTGGGACACAAAAAAATCTTTTCTATTGATGATGACGAGGAGACGAATTTGACCTTACAAAACATAATTGATGGAATTATGGAGATGCTGACGAGGAGAACTCTGTGGATTCTTTTCAAGGAAAGTATATGTTGGGAAGAAACGATGTCGAAAAAACAAAAAAATGACGGAGATAAAAAAACTCTTATTTTTTTTAATTAAAAGTCACTAGTTCTAGAAGAACTAGAATTTTTAATCATAAAGAAATCTAGTCTCTTTGTTAATCAAATGTTTAGTTTATTAAATCTATACTATATAAAATTGAGGTTATAAGCTCTTAAAGGCGTCTACATAAGATTTAAATCAACCAATAATGTTATGTCATATCAATATTTAAATTTAAATTTTTTTTTGTTAATAGAAAACTTCCAATTCTTTTAAAAGCATTTAGTATAAGTTAATTTTTTTGTTTTTTTTTGTAAATAGAAAACTTCTATTTTCCTAAATCTTAAAAAAAAAGAAGGAAAATGTGTCATAACAATTTACAAAAAATGTTAATTTTCTATTCTCCAACTATGTGTTGCATTATATATAGTGAGTTGGAGTATCAATATGCATAATTTATAATGTTATTGTATTTAATAAGTTTTTTTTTAAATTAGATTTATTAAACTAATGTCTATGTTCTTTTGTAATAATTATCTTTCACGTATATCTTTGTGTTCTTTTTCCGTTTTGATTCTTTTATTTTGTAGTTACTATTATTTGGTAGTTTATATTTAAAGCACAAAGATACGTTTTTGAAAATCACTTTTTCTGCAAAGATTTATTATTAATTAAATAAACTTTCATTTGTTTTATAGTCATGGCTATACAAAAGAAGATATTTGGCCAAAAAGAAATTTTTGGATTATATAGAATGGTGTCGAGGTACGTATATTCTCTTTTTAGAAGTTGAAGCTATAACCTTTAAAACTATCCACGAATGATTTGAATCAACCAATAGTTTTATGTCAAGTAAATATTTAAATTTAAATTAATTTTTATTTTATTATTAATAGAAAACTTCCAATTTTTTTAAAGAATTTAGTATAAGTTAATTTCTTTATTTTTTTTTTACTAGAAAACTTCTATTTTTCTAAATCTTGATTTTTTCTATTTCTACAAACTTTTCTATTTACGAAAATTATTCATACTTAATAGTACAATATTATTAAACTTTTTTGCCTATATTAAAAACCTTAAATAGTAAATAGAGACAAAAAAAAGTTTTTATTTTGCTTTGAACCAAATACATATAACATTTTATCAATAATAATAGGATTCCAAATTTGTAATAGTTAACTGGTTTATATATAGAAGATGCAAGCATATGCATTACAAAGTACAAACACATGTTTGATTTCTTTACTGTATATATAATTTTATATTCATACGTTTATGTGGAAGTATATCATTAATTATTGGAATAAAAACTACATACGCTTCTCGTGTGTGTAATGTATTGC